TGGATAATGAAATGACTGCAAGCAAACAATCATTCTCAGAGAGCACCAAAGACTCCACATTGCTTGCTTTATGGAAAGCCAGAAGAACTTACTGAAGTAAAGTAATAAAGCAAGGAAACTTCTGAATTGAAGAGATAAACATCTTTTTTAAAGTTCTAATGTGTTTCAAGTAAACATTGTCAAATAGAAGCAAATATTTTTGTTTCTTATAATTCTACAGTCTTTATCAAGTCTGGAAAAGCCTATAAGGCTATTAAATATAATATTTTGGCAGTATTGTGTTAAAGTGTTCTGATCAAGTAATAGTTACTTTATATACCTTTGTCCTGGGAGAAAAAGATCTGTGTGGGATTTTCCTTCCTTATTGCTTTCCTTCTGTCTTAAATTCATAAATCATATTAAATTATCAAAATCATAGTTGAAAAAAGATCTTCAACTTGTTCTTTATGATATTGATGACTATACATAAAATGCTAATCATGTTGACTCTGAAAATGGGGTATATCTACATAACAAAAGACAAGCTTATGAATTTGCAGATAATTTCAACTATTTAATGACTGTTAAGTAATTGTAAAATAATGACTTTACCTAACTATTCTGGTAGTTATTCTGTTGTATGAGAAAGTGAGATTGCTAAAGTGCCATCCTGAAACAACTTAGTAGCTTGCAAAACTAATTACACAAAGAAGTGGTTTCAAAAATCCATTTCAGATAAGTAATTTAATGTGAATGTAGGCTGCAAATGTGTTACTATGTTCAGATGTGAACATAGGCTCTAAATCTGGTAGGTTACTCATGTAATAACTGATAGTTTTAAGTAGATTGACTAGACAAGTCTTAGTTAATGACTAGGAATAGCTGTATGTACTGTGGAAGAGACCATATGCAACAAATGAGTAATGTGTGGCAGAACAAGCTACCTACCTGTTTGTGATTTGGGGAGAATAAGGCTTCAGTGATAAGTAATCATGGGGGGAGGAGTATGTATATGTTATTGCTTGGTAATATAGGTTTAAGGGAATTATTGGTATAGGCTATTCTGTCCTTAAAGCGCATCAGCCAATCCATATGCTACAGGTAAGCCAGTCTTCCCTTACCTGGTATTGTCCCATTATCTTCTCTGGGAGATTATAGAAATTGAAGCCTAATACAACTAGAGTGTCCCGCATTGGGGAACAGACCATAGATGGCTGTGTTCTTTATTGATGTAATGCTAGGATACATTTTTTTATCATTTGTCCTTTAATTATGGTACTTAAGCCAGATTTGAAAATGTAAAAATAATAGGGTAAAAAAATCAAATTACTTCAAGTATTTCAGATACTATAGTGTTATGAAAGCTAAATTGTGGATTTAACTGCTAAGTTGATTACTTGATCTCCTCAGCTTAAATAAAGCAGATGGCCTCCAGTATTATAACATGTTTGATTTCTATGTGAAACATGTCTATCCTGTTTTTCAGACTTGTAGTTTAAAAATTGCATTGCAAAAAATAGGGGATGAGAAAAGGAACACAAGACTATTTGGAAACTTGTTTTTAACTTTTTGGCTTTCATTCTAACCATAATGATAGTATAATGCTCAAATACACCCTAGATTGTTGTCTAATCTCTAATGTCTTTTAGTAACGGAGATGTTGGTCTTGCAGCTACCCACTGGAGTAAACTTACCTCTCTCCCCCCTACTTTCTGGTGGGATGTTTGCTGGCTGATAACCCGTATCAGGAGCATAGTTGGTGACTATTTTTCTAACACAGATGAAGAGTGGACTACAATCTAAATAGTGCAGAATGACAGAAGTTTCAGACTTCAACTGTAAAGGAAAAAATATTTCAAGAGTCACTATTGAGCTCCCACAATGAATAATAATTAGTACAATTCAGAGAGACAGAGTGAGGGGAAAATCTGGGCCTGCATTTTGCAGCTAGGTATGCTGTCAGTCACACGTTAGTGCTATAGGACAGGGGTCCTCAACCTTGGCAACTTTAAGACTTGTGATCTTCAACTCCCAGAATTCCTCAGCCAGCTGCTGGCTGAGGAATTCTGGGAGTTGAAGTCCGCAAGTCTTAAATTTGCCAAGGTTGAGGATCCCTGCTGTAGGACATGTAGGGATTTCAGGGTCAGAGTTCACCAAGCTTTTGTGTTGCTCACCATCAGAGCTAGAAAGGATTCTTTTAAGGCATCCTGGTCTATCCTTTGCTATGTGCAGGATTCACAATACATATTTACCTCCTGCCTGAAAAATATCCAGTGAAAGATTGTGGAGGTGAAGAAAGGAGTACAATGCTGAGGAGAAGAACCATGTTTATTGCTATGATCAGTAGATATTTGCTTTCCAAGAAAGAGGGAAGAACCCCAAACAACAGAAAAGTAGAGATTCTTACATATGTTGGAATTGAGAGGCAGAACAACTAGGGATCTGATTCATGTACAGGTGTTGGGGAAGTGAGATAACAGTTTTCTATTATAAAGCAAAAATTGTGTTGTCTTGTTTTTGTAGCAAGACAATTGAATTGTGAATGCTATGGAGGTGATAAGCAGGATTCACTCTTGATTAGAATGGAATTCCTGCAGTTTCTCATCTCCTAAAGCAAAGTTTCCTCATTAAGGCTACCCCCTAGGTCAGGGGTGTCAAACTCGCAATGTCATGTGACGTGTCGCAACATGTCACGACTTTTTTTCCATTGCTGGCAATGGGGTGGGCGCAGTTTTGGCATGACGCATCCGGCCCGTGGACCGGCAGTTTGACAGCCCTGCCCTAGATGAACCTTTATGAAGACAGGTGAAGGCTTTCTCATTGTTTTGGCTGTGATGGGATTAAAGGGGCTTTTGCTGCAGTGGAAACATGATGTGCCACAGCCTGGGAGTGGTTTTAATTTTATATATGGAAATAGGAAAGCAGCAATCAGCAGAGGGGAAGAGGAAATTTGCAACAGGAGAGGCAGAGGAGATGGGTAGGGGGAGTGTTTGCAGCTTTATTTCATTATTGTTTCATCACCAGAAATGTTCCTAACAGTGTTATGTGCTACAGTTTGTCTAGCTCAGGGGTTCCCAACCGGGAGTGCTCGCAACACCTGGGGGTGCGAAAACTTGGGTTTTCAAAATTATAGTGTATATGCATAATTTGTTGCTGTTATTTTGAACTTTTGTAAGGGGTGTGAGAATATATCAGAAGCGTTCTAGGGGTGTGGGGTATATAAAAGGTTGGGAACCGCTGGTCTAGCTCATTGATTTCAAACCTATGATGTGTATGTCAAAGTTGACATGTCACTACCAACACTTGACAACAACTTTCTCAAAGCACAACTCTGGAAATTAGTTGTTTTACTTATATTTCATGTTTGTAACCATTTAATGTTTCTTTATATAATGCATAGCACCTCATGTTTGCACTATAAATAAATAAATAAATATGCAATAATTTTTGTTCTGCGGAGGGGTGACAGGCCAGCAGAGTCAAATTAGGCATTTTCTGAATTTTTGCCACAGTGAGCAAAAGGTTCAGCATTACTGACCTAATTCCTTATTGATGCTCAATATTCCGAAGCTTCTACCTTGTCTGTAAGTGGCTCTTACATATTATAACATTAGGTTAAAGGGGGCTGGAGTTTACAATAAAATCTAAGAAATAGCTTTTAGGGTTTAAAATTTTATATCTTAAAATATGTAGAGAATAATTTCAGTGCACAGTACAATCTACAGTGTGATCTGGTTACAATATTATGCATAATCAGTAAAAATACATAGTTAACCATAATTTTAATACTATGCAGGTTATTCAGTTCTATTTTAACATTCAAGTTTAGACCGTACTGTAATATAGATTCTACCATATCCTTTCTCTGTATTACCCAAAATGTGAAATTAAAGTAATATTTTTTTTCCTTTGAGATAAAATCTGGAAAAGCTGCTAAATAGCCTGGGAATATTTTTACAATATTGCAGCTATTTGAAAAGAAAATTGTTTTTATAATCCAACATTTACAGAAGTTTCACCATAAATTTACTGCTTTTTAGACAGATTTGTTCAGTATTATAAGCAATATTACAGAAACATGTGAAATATTGTTAAAGTTTAGACGTGTGCTGAATCCAAATTTAATCGAATTCTTAACATTGTACTAATGAATGGTACTTAAAAGTAACTTTTCTGCATCAGCACTTGTATTTCCCAAGTTCCAGCTTTCTCTTTTGGGAAAGGATTATTAAGCATGTAGTATAGGTAATCCTCAACTTACAACCACAATTGAGCCCAAAATTTCTGTTACTAACCGAGACATTTGTTAAGTGAGTTTTATCTTTCTTGCCACAGTTAAGTGAATCACTACAGTTAAATTAGTAACACTGTTAAGTGAATCTGGCTTCCCATTGACTTTGCTTATCAGAAGATCACAAAAGGTGATCACGTGACCCTGGGACACTGCATTATAAATATGAGTCAGTTGCAAAGCATCTAAATTTTGATCCCAGCAGTTGTAGGTGTGAAAAACAGTCATAAGACATTTTTTTCAGTGCCGTTGCAACTTTGAACAGTCACTAAATGAATATTGTAAGTTGAGGACTACTTGTACTGATTTAGCTGCAGAGCACTGTTTTATTTCTGCCAGCTAATGGTGGATTGTATATCTCAGGCAAGCTGGGATATTCTTATTTTTTCCTATAGGTTATTCTATAATTAAGGCCCCAGATCAAACAGTATTTCTTAAGTACAGGAAGGTTTTTTGTTTTAAAAACCATGGTAGATATTTTAAAATTAAATGATTGCTGTTGCATAATTAATTTGTATTTTTCCAGATAAATTTACTAGATGTAATAACTGATGGGAAGATATTTTTTTTTAAATGTGAGCATATTAGAAGTGATAAGCTTGTCGTCTGCTTTCATTGTGCAGTTTTATAGACTTTGGCATGTATGTGCATTCTGCCAAATTATGTGTAGCATCTTGATCTAAACATAATTAATATTAAGATTGTAAATTAATTTTGTCTCCAAAATTAGGAATTGTGGAGATTATGGCATCTGAAGCTCAAAATGATAGAAAACGGAACCTGTTATATATTGAGGGTCGTCCTATTGATCTCCCTAAGAAAAGGAGCTCTCATTCCCTTAGTGAGAATATGAAGGAGGTAAGCTTTTCGTATATTATTTGTCTAAATCTTACCTTTTGTATTTGAACACTAGTTTTAAAAGCTAATACATATCATTTTACTGTTCAGTAAATGTATATTGTGAGAGGGCTGCTGTTTATAAAGGACCATTAATCTTCTTATTAGATAGCAGCAGGTGAATTGATTTGACTTGGATATAGGAGTGAATAGCTGGTGCTGGTTGGTTACTTGAATGGTAGACCTGTGGAGAAATCCAGGGATTTAGATTAGGGAAGAAAAATATCCTGAAAGAAAACATTGACAAACCACATCAAGAAGAGGAGATTATTGTGTCCATTAAGCCATCAGAACTCAGCTTTAAAGATTTTTTTTTTTTGACATATCTATATTGCAAATGCTTTGTGAAATATTATCTCTGAGAAAATGAAGCATATGTTGGTGGTTGTTGTTAGTTGCGAAGTCATGTCCGACCCATTGCGACCCCATGGACAACATTCTTCCAGGCCTTCTGTCCTCTACCATCTTCTGGAGTCCATTTAAGCTCATACCTACTGCTTCAGTGACTCCATCCAGCCATCTCATTCTCTGTCGTCCCCTTCTTCTATTGCCCTCAATCTTTCCCAGCATTAGGCCCTTCTCCAGTGAGTCCTTCCTTCTCATTAGGTGGCCAAAGTATTTGAGTTTCAACTTCAGGATCTGGCCTTCTAAAGAGCAGTCGTGGTTGATCTCTTCTAGGACTGACCAGTTTGAATGCCTTGCAGCCCAAGGGACTTGCAGGAGTCTTCTCCAGCACCATAGTTCAAAGGCCTCAATTCTTTGTTGCTCAGCCTTGGTAGTCTTCTCTAAAAGGCATCAGAGCTTAGTCTTCATGTTCACTTTGAGACTTGGAATACAGTTTATTTTGGGATTAGTTGAAATTTGAGATGTAGCCTTACCTGGTAAAACAGATTTACTTGTACATTAAACTATAGTAAAATCTTTTGCCTTAGAATTATACATAAACTCACTTGTTATGATTTGATATTTTCTGTGGATGCAACTAATATATATTCTTGTGGAACAGCCCATTAACAGATAAGATGACCCTCAAATTGTTAACCAAAATACCATGAAAAATGTGCCTCCCGTAAATAAGCTGACCCTTGAAATTTTATCATGTTTAATTTTTATAATTGGCTTACCCGTGGGTGAGAGAGGGAGAGGGAGGGAGGGAGAGAGAGAGAGAGAAGGAGAGGGAGAGAGAGAGATGATATAGAATATATAGTAGGAATATATATATAGAAAAAAGAATTGCCTTCTGTCAGTAGCAATAAACCTCAGCAGAGTTATGTTCACTAACAATTATAGATTATAAAAAATGATAACTGTTAATTCTACAATTGAAGTTTCTGAATTACAGAACTGTAAAGTATGCTAGAGAAAAATGGAAATATAGAAAAAAGAAACAGAAAATGGTAGTAAAATTTGGAAATATTTTGGGAACAAATAGGCTTGGATGCTGGCACTTCCTGTTAAAGTTTATTTGAGATTCTTAATTCTCCCAAACTACAAATATTAATCATTAATATATCAATGCTTAACTAAGTTTCTAAAATATTTCCTTTCTGCATTCCATTTCCCCTCCCCCAATAATTTATTGTACTATAACAATGCTACATATTTCTTCAATTCATGGTTAATATTCTGAAAAGTTAATGAATCCAAATATGTGAAGTAATAGAACCCCAAAGTCCAGAAATGGAAAGAGTTTATACTATTGAAACCCATATTATAGATTATATTATAGATTCTGAACGTTCAGCAGTAGTGCTGTTGTAGAAGTTAAAATGCAATTTTGCTAATCTCAAAATGTCCATACTACACAGATTGTAAATTAAGTTGTGAATATAAAGGTGGCCTACAAAATGTTGCTTATATTGATAAAAGGCCTTTTGAGCGAAGCTATTTTGTGAAAACACTATATTACAGATCAGAATATTAAATATTAAAGCATCTATTTATTCAGTCATCTAGTAATACAATAAATACTAGCTAAATTGATATTTTGAAGTATGCCACTTGCTATATTTTAAACCATTGGTATAGAATGCAATAAATTATTAATTGTTATGTAATGATTTTAGTGAGACTTTTTCCTAATGTCAAAAATGACATTGTACTTCTGATTGTAGTACAATGTTTTTTCATACTTCTGATGTCATAATTTCTTCTGTCCTTATGGATGTCATAATATCTTGTATTTCAGTTAAATAGTCAGAGTTGCCATTGGTAATTTTACTTTTCTGAAGTCAAAACTAAAGTGATTTTCTCCAAATACAATCAAAACTAAGTGAACATGCATTTAAAAATATGGGTGAAAGGTATTGCTATTAATGTAACATTTTTAATGTTTATTTCTAGGATAAGAAATCTCCAAAACATTTGGCTTCTTGCACAAGCAGGTAAGAGCTACCTTGGTTGATTGTGAGAAAAGAAGACTAGTGTGTTTGGAAACAGAAATCCTTCTGGTTTAAATAATCAGTTGAAACTATTGAAAGAGGGCATCTTTTGTCCAGGTCACTTAGAACTAAATGCTGTTAGTATCTTTGGCATGCATCGTGAAACAGTTTTTTGGGTCTCATTCCATCTCTTGGTGCTCATCTCTAATTGGGCTAAAAATAGCATTGTCCTAATGTCAGAGGCATCTGATAAAACTGATTTGTCACACTGTAGGAAGTCTCCTGGTCATGTAAATTTGCCTATAAGGAATTTAATTTCCACACCAATACCTGTTTGGTGGTTGACTAGAAGGAAACATAATTAACTGTCCGAAACTGCTTGTACAGTTCCAATTCCAGGGGTCTCTGTTTGTGGCTGCTGAGGTATATACAGCAATTGGTCAGAAATAATGCCAATCTTTTTTGGACCAATTTATTGCGCAAATGTTTACAGAGACGTAATGGTGCAATATAATACTTTTATTGCTGTATCTATTCTCATTTTTCCTCAACTTTTTATGTCCTGGGGGAGAGATACGAGCATAGACATTTTTAGGGGGTAATGCTTCAAATAGTGTTTTCCACGCCAGATTTGAAACATGTCTTTCATGTCTAATAGCATTCTCATAGTAAATGCAAGATGACATTCTGGCACAAAAGATTCTAAGATTGCATCCACGTTGGTTGGATGTTTTATATTCAGATGTTAAATAAACTTTCTTTTTCTTGCAGAGCAACAGTTGGACAAACTCTAACCAGCCCCCATTCTCTGTTCAAAGTAGTATATTGTAGAAGAAAAGCTCATTACTATTCTCCAAAGCCTTGTTTCAAAAAGAAACAGCTCCCTAAAGTTAGAGGCCGTGACATGGCAAATAAGGAAAATGAACTAGCCTGTGCAGGTAACCTGCCAGCCAAATTGCCTCCTGATGGTCGTACTTTCTTACTGAACTCCAGTGAGGCTGGCCAGTCTCAAACAGAGAGTCCTTCATCAAAATACAGTGGATTTTTTTCAGAGGTAAATTAAACATTTTATATTTTTAAAATTTTATGAATCAGAATATAAGCCATTGGAATTCTGTTTACCTTCCTCTGTTTTACTGTCTATGTTGGGATTTGATTACTCTTTGCTATAGACCACCTATCACCCAAATTTGCTTCGGTGTAGGGATTATGAGAACTGTAGGGGGAAGATGTATCAGTGAGTCATAATTATAGAACTGAATATAATCCATTTTATTAATATCAAAATTATTTAATATAGTAACTCAACATTGCAAGATCTAGAGGCTGTCTGGGAACAGATGGGGAAAAGCAAGCTCATACTAAATCCTACTGAGACTGTGTTGCTGTTTGTACATTAACATCTAAGTTATCTGGGAACATTAACCCTGATAGTTGTTCTAGCCAGAATCATGTTTTCCTAAAGGAGATGATCTGTATCTTGGAACTTCTCTTGAACCCTCAGCTTTTGCTGCAGTAGCAGGTGGTACTGGAGGCTGTGTTGCCTGATGCACCCTAAATTGACCTATAAGCCCTTATGATAGTAACATAGGCTCATATCACTGCATAATCAGATTTCTTCAATGTGCATTATGGGGAGATGCCTTTGAAGTCAACTTAAAAGCTTCAGCTGGTGCAAAATATAGCAACTCTGAGAACTCTCCACAGCAGAATTATTCCTGCCCTGGCCACATTGGTTGTCAGTAGAGTATGTTTTCTGGCCCAATTCAGCATGTTGTTCATTAACTATGAAGCCCTATATGGGATATATCAAGATTAACTATTAAACAGGATTCTGTCTATCCAGTCTGGACATCTAGAATGGGACCTTTGAAAATCCAAGTCCTCCAAAGTGCAAAGGTTGGGCTAGGCGTAAAGATAACCTCCAGGTTCAGAACCATCTTCCCCAGAGATGCTTATGGCTCAGATATTGCTCTCATTGAAAAATAACTTTATTTCAACTATCTTTTGGTCTTTAATATGATTGTGGTAAACTACTGATATATTTATTATGTTTGATTTCTTCTGTTTTAGTATTCAGAATACACCAAGATTAGAGCACTATTCAAAAATTATAACTATATAACTACTGGAAAATAGTATTTTCTGTAACATGCAGAAAATAGTTCAATGTGAATAAAACAAATTTGTAATTGAAAATCTAATGCAAATGCTTTTTCCATTCCATTCCTTTTCTGTAACTCTGTATTAATTATCACTGCTGGAAAGAAGGCCCTCATGCTGTGATACATTCTGTCTTTCTCTCAGAAGATGGACAGAACGTGCTGGCTACATAAATTACTATTCGTCCAGTAGGCTAATGCAACAACCTTTTTTGGTTCCTTCATACTATAGAGGAACATGCAAATTAGAGCAATGTCTGGCAACAACCTCTTGTATTATTTGTAGAGTAATGCATTAAACATGGGCTTAAAATAGATTTCACAAATACTATTTTATGTATAAAAAACAATTGTTGTATAAAGTCAAGCTTCTGTAGGTAAAGTTCAACAACAAGCTGACCTCAGAACATTTGAGTTGTCTGGAATCATGCATTTTTAAATCTTAAGTAAATAAATAAAATAAAAAAATCCATTCATGAGCATTCTGTCAGGCATAGAAATCATCCCTCCTGTTCCATGAGCAACAGTTGCTTCCATTCACAGAAATACTGTTCTGGAAGAATATTTATTTATCATTAAACAACTTGTGCGGAGCTGCATATAAATAGCTCTAATAGACTCAGCTGATAGAAAATTCATAGAATCATAGGTCTTGGCTCATAACACTTAGACTGTTCTTGTGTTTCTAGGTTTCTGAAGATCATGATACAATGGCCCAAGTTCTCTTCAGTAGAAATCTCCGTCTGAATGTAGCTTTAACCTTTTGGAAGAGGAGAAGTATAAGTGAACTTGTAGCCTATTTAGTGAGGTAAAGTTTTTGGAAGACTGCTGCTAGCTGAACTGAAGTCATATTGTGTGTATGGGGGGGGGGAGGTTATATGTAGGATTCTTTTTACAAAGAAGAGCCTGGATGGAAACAATGCATTAATCTTAGTGATTGGGTGTTCCCTCCAGGAAGTGTTATTTGTATTTTATATAACAATAACAGTGGACTTAAATGCCAAATCCAGTCTAAACATCTGGATGATGATGATGATGATGATGATAATAATAATAATAATAATACTGGTGTATCATTTGACAAAATAACAGTCAATTGCAAAACATAGTTTTACTTGGAACAGCTTATATACTGCAATGATACCTTTAACACCATCAAACAAGTACATCTACATATTCCAGGTAAATAAAAATATCAAGTCCAGTCTAAACATCTGGCTGAATATGTAATAATAATAATAATAATAATAATGGGATAATTAATAATGGAATGCAAGACCATAATTTTTAAACCTGTGGAATTCTTCACAGGTTTACTATGCACAGACTTTATTTGCATAAATTAATGTAATAATATTCAGCCATTCCTAATATACTACCCTTAGATACTGTCTTATGAAATGTATGTAAAAAGCAGTGACTAATGGTGTATTTTTATGTTTCCAGGATACAAGATCTAGGAGTAGTTGTAGATTGTCTCCCTGTCCTTACCAGCAGGTAAAAGAAAAATCTAGAGGAAGGGGTTGATTGAATATATGTTATGTATATTTAGACATACTAATAATGCCTTGTTTCAGTTTACAGGAAGAAAAACCTTATATTTCTGTTGGTTGCTGTGTAGACCTTCTACCATTAATAAAATTAATGCTTAAAAGCAAATTTGAAGAGTAAGTTTTTTTAAAAATATTATGTAATTATTTAGAGAATAAAAATAAAAGTTAATCTTTACCTTTTGTAGTTTGCTATTCCTGATAAACACACAGAATTGCATGTCAAGGGTAGGATCAACAGTGATTTTATTGGTCTCATTGTCCTAACATGGAGGGCAAACGTGTGGCCTTTCAAATGTTGCTGAGCTATAAATTCCAAAATCCCAGGCAGGATGGGTTAAAGTAAGGGATGCTAGAAAGCCATCAGATCTACAACGATTTTATATTTGCACTTAGTCTTCCTCAGCCTGATTTACTGATGCTAAAGATGTGCCTCCTACTATTTATATATTTAAAATCAAGCAATTTCTGTTAGTTCAGTTGTTTAAGTCTGTTTGGATAAAAAAGATTTTGGGGAAATCAAAAACAGTGTTGCTGAACAGAATGACTTGGAAAAAATGTTTCCCAATTATAAGTTGGTTGAATTATACCCATATAACTCAGATATTTTGCCTTCTAAGAAAAAAAAAAACACTGAATACATTATTAGGAAGATTTATTCTGCTTGTTTTTTCCATTCATTAAAAAAACCTGATTTGAAAAATTTCTTAGTAGTTTGCAACTGTTTTAAGGAATATTTTGCCAATGTTTAAGCTGTTTTCAGAATGAAGCTTTTCATAGTGATTTCTTTCCCCCCCTAGATATGTAATTGTTGGTTTAAATTGGCTTCAGGCTGTGATTAAGAGATGGTGGTCACAACTTTCTATCCATACGGATAAGATAGAAGATGGGTAAGTAACCCTTTTTAAACATTGCAGCTTTTTAAACACTGTGACTTTTAGTATGACTGCTAAACTTTTAGATGATGATGATGATAATAATAGTAGTAGTAGTAGTAGTAGTAGTAGTAGTAGTAGTAGTAGTAGTAGTAGTAGTAAGAATAACTAAAAACTTTCCTGATTAAAAAAAACCCTAGATTTTGTGAGCATACTGTTGGGAGCAATTCTAAAAATGATCAGATTAAACAGTATTAAGAAGTTTGATCATACAGATCTTTCCCTTTCACTTAGTACTGAAAACTGCTATAAAAATGGAGAAAACTTTTTTTTCTATTAGAACTAGAAATTATGACTCATGGTAGATTTTCTTCCCTAATCTTCAATAATCTCTGTTATCTATGCTTTTTGATATGTGAAGCTGAAGGTAGAAAAAAATAATTAACTTGAATAACAATTGCAAAGTAATTTTGTCAATATAAGATGCACATAGAATTGTTTATTTGATTTATATAGTTACCCATCTCATATATGTAACTTTGGGGGGCTTACAATAAAATAGATAAAAACAAATACATTACATAAAATAAAAAAATACAGCAGTTAAGCAAATAAAATAACCATTAACAAAGCCAAGAGATGAACTCCATCTCACTTCCAGGTCCCCAGGCTCTGGACAAAACCAAATTTTTAGGGCCTTGTGAAAAGCCAGTAGAGTTAGGGCCCATCTAATCTCTGGTGGAAAGGTATTCTACAAAGAAGGTGCCATGTTGGAAAAGGCCAACCAGGATTTCTTAGCTCAGGGCTTTTCAACCTTTTCACCCATTGTACCACTTTTCGGATAAGGCAATATCTGAGTACCACCACTCACCCAGCAAGGTATCAAAAACTTGACACCCCCCCCCCAAAAGGAAAAAATGAGAAAGTACAGGTAGTCCTCGACTTACAACAATTGGCTTAGTGACTGTTTGAAGTTACAACGGCACTGAAAAAAGTGAATTATGATCATTTTTCACACTTATGACTGTTGCAGCATCCCCAGGGTCATGTGATTTACATTTGGATGCTTGGCAACTGATTCATATTTATGACGTTCACAGTGTCCCAGGATCATGTGATCAATGGCCGGGGGCGAGGCCAGCTGATCACTCAGGTTGCTGGGTGCCTGGGGGGGGGGAAATCCGTGGGTCTCTGAGATGGGACTGGAGTGGGTGCCTGCCTCCCTTCTCTCCCATTGTCCCTTCCTTCCTTCTTTCACCTCCCTTTGTCCCTTCCTCCTTCCCGCCCTCTCTTCCATTGTCCCTTCTTTCCTTCACCTCCCTCTTAGTTCCTTCCTCCTTCCCTCCCTCTTTCCCACTGTCCCTTCCTTCTTTCCTTCCTTTCCTTCACCTCCCTCTTAATCCCTTCCTCCTTCCCTCTTTCCTATTGTCCTTTCCTTCCTTCCTTCCTTCCTTCCTTTCACCTCCCTTTGTCCCTTCCTTCTTCCCTCCCTCTCCCATTGTCCCTTCCTTCTTTCCTTCCTTTCCTTCACCTCCTTTTGTCCCTCCTTCCCTCCCTCTCTCCCATTGTCCCTTCCTTCTTTCCTTCCTTTCCTTCACCTCTCTTTGTCCCTTTTCTTCCCTTCACCTCCCTTTGTCCCTTCCTCCTTCCCTCCCTCTTTCCCATTGTCCCTTCCTTCCCTTCACCTCCCTTTGTCCCTTCCTCCTTCCCTCCCTCTCTCCTATTGTCCCTTCCTTCTTTCCTTCCTTTCCTTCACCTCCCTTTGTCCCTTCTTCCTTCTCTCCCATTATCCCTTCCTTCCTTTCCTTCACCTCCCTCTTTGTCCCTTCCTCCTTCCCTCCCTCTCTCCCTGTCAAGCCCCCATGAACGGGCGGGGGAGGGGTTGTGGACGACGTGCGGGGAGGCAAAGGAGACCAGCAACCAGTGCCGTTCTACCTGGCAGCGTGGGTGTCAGATCCGTGGGCGTCCTGACCAACAGCTGAGTGGCTCCGACTTCTGGCTGCCAAACAGCTGATGGGCGCAAGGCCGCGTGGGTGTCCCCACAAACAGCTGAGTGGCTCCTACTCTTAACCACCAAACTGCTGATGGGCAGGAGGCCGCATCGGCGTCCCGACGAACAACTGAGTAGCTCCTACTCTTAGCATCCGAACTGATGGGCGCGAGGCCGCAGCAGGGAGCCAAGGGCCGATGGCGCAGCCTGAAGCTGAAAGGCTCTGTCTCCCAGCCGCCAAACAGCTAATGAATGCAAGGCCTGGACCACAGCCGAACGGCGCAGGGACGCTCACGGGACTGGAAGGCTGCAGCTCTGCAGCTTCCTTCCTTCCTTCCTTCCTTCCTTCCTTCCTTCCTTCCTTCCTTCCTTCCTTCCTTCCTTCCTTCCTTCCTTCCATTGTTTGTGCTACGCTGCCCAGACCCAAGCCTGGTTTTGGCAGGCAGCAACACATCACGGCCCTGCCTGACATCACGGCCCTGCCTGTGCACACGCAGAGGCAGAGGAGAGTGCCCAGGGCAGGGCGGGGATGTCACCGGTTCACCTCCCGTTTTCAGGCATGTACATTACGAACCGGCTACTTCTCCCAGTCATTTTCCCCCTACCGGGGTCCAGCGTTCGAGCCAGGTTCCCCGATCCTCTCCGTGTACATCGTTCTTCCCATAGCTCTCCCCAGCGCTGTTGAGAGATGCCCATTTCTGGCCGCATTACCACTGTTCTTAAGTTACATTTGCACCCGCCCAAAGGAAGAGAGCGACGCTTTTCTCCCTCCTCCAAAGGAAGGAGACAAACCCGCATCGCCACCAAGTCACTCTTCCTTCAGGTAGGCTGGCCATCGCGGAACTGGGGAAGGGTTAAATGCTGTGAAACAGTGGGGGGAGGGAGTCAAGCAGGTGCATTTCTCCCTCCACACCCGTGTTTTATTGGCTTTGCCTGGCGCGCGTCAGCAAAACGGCCTCGATTCCCACCTGCTGCCTCGGGATGAGTCCTCCGGGAGGCAACATGAGGGCCGTGAGGGGTATCGCAAACTCGCGGGGGAAAAGAAGATGGAAGAGAGTAAGGCCGCAACAGAGAGAGAAGGTGGAAAAGAAGGAGGGGCGGTTGTGATGTTGGTGCTCAGGGCCGCGACGCGAGCACTCTCAAACCCCTTCCTGCTGTCTCAAACCTCTTCCTGCCGAGGGAGTAGACGGCTCTGTGTCCTATCAGGCTAGCGCTTGTTGTGAACTAAGAGAGAAGGGAAGGGCGATATGGATCCCACTGACCTGCGTGCACGAGAAGTCAATCCGGTTACTGCACAATGAGTCCCTGGGGAGGGCGGGGCCTTGGTCTGCACCTGCGCTCTTCGCGCACCCTCCTGCAGAGCACGTTCGGTAGGGTTCGTGCAGGCTACCGCCAAGCAGCATGTTTTCTACAAACAAGTGAGCTGGGAAGGAGCAGAGCGGGAGGGAGGAAGGCAGTCAGGTGATCACGTACCACCAGTGGTACTTGTACCATCGGTTGAAAAGCCCTGTCTTAGCTGACAGCACCCAGTGCTTTTGTTCCTACAGAAATAATATATTTCTGATCTTGAAAGTATGGCATCTATTGAAGTCTCCAGCATGGTACAAGAAAAAAAATTGTAGAACGTAAGTTGAAACCTGCTCTAAGGTTGATAAAATGTGTGTAATGGCCATCTCAAATTTCAGTTAAAATTATTTAAAAACATTTTTTCTGCATTAGCCAATAACGTATCAAAGGTACAATTGGTCATATACAGTATTTGAAATCTAGGTAAAATAGATACCATGAGACACTGATTGTTCTTTATTTATTACATTGATATTCCATACTTTTGGCTTTCTTTTTCAGAAATATTCAGATTTTAAAAGAACAATTAAGTATATTGTGGAAACAAGCAAACCATCTTACTTTGGTTCCAGGATATACGGGTAATATAGCAAAGGTAACATATCTATTTGAAGATAATATATTTTTGAAATTAATTTATGTTCTTAATTATATATAATTTAATTTTTAGTGGAATGTACCAAGTTATATTCTTCTGCCCTTCTCTTGCTGTGATACTCAGTCTCATTTAAAGAGTTAGATTCTCTACAGCTATATTGGAGATGGGGTGTCCCTTGCATGAGCTGAAGCCCCATCATGTAACTTTGAAGACAGCCTATTGAGTTACTGTTTGAGGTTAATTATTTGGAATTAATAGTAGTATTTTTTTTTTTGTATACACAGTATCAATGCACTCATATTCAGACAGATACTGGGTTAGTTGAACAAACCTCTCACGCCTCTCCCCTCTTGTCATTACTGAGATAGAAATTGAATCTGGTTTATATGTTTGCTCCTCGTTCTCTCTTTTCCTTGATTATTTTATCTGGTTATTATCTCGATCTTTGCTTTTCATGTATTGCAGACAGAAGGCTCTGAGAAGTGTATGTTATTTATACACCCAAGGATAGAAATATATGTAGTTTTGTCTCCTAATATCTCTGCATTAGTTACCCCTCACTCTGACCTTGTTAATTGAAATAGATAAGTTAGGAATGAGGATCTATATACATTCACATAAATACAAAAATAGAACTTTCAATATAATTGGAGAAATGATTATCTGAGCAAATTAAAGAAAAGAACTCCAGTTTATACTTCGTTGTTTAATGCATCAAATGGGAGATACAGGGGGATATTTTTTGTATGTCAAAGGTTATGTTTCTAGGTCAGTTTACTTGCTGTTGTATAGGTGTTAATTAAAACCTGAACAGGAACTAAAGGATATGTGAGTTACCAAAATATTTTACTAATGTTAATACATTATGCAAAACTACAAGTTTGTTTAACTATAATTTATTAATGAAATATACTGATTGGCCGTGTATAAGTAAACCAACCATGATGTACTACAGTTCCTATGTAATACTTCAAATGTTCTGATTTTTTTTTTTAATCCTGTACTCAAATGTCAGTGTTTGTATTATATTTCTACAAAGAAATTTCTGAGTAAGAATAAAGATAAACATGCCAGTGTTTGCTAAAGCAGTGTTTCTCAACTTTGGCAGCTTGAAGATGTCTGGACTTCAACTCCCAGAATTCCTCAGCCAGCATTCTGGGAGTTGAAATATTATGGCTGGCATTCAAAGAGAGGCTTGGTGTTATGAATTACTTTTGGAATTAATGTGTTTTACTGTTTCTATTTTTTTTTTTTTTTAGGGTGTGGAATCTTATTTGTTACAGTTGCATTGATATACCTGAAGGACAAAGCTGTGTGCTTAAACAGGGTCAGTCAACAGCAACACTAAGCAAGATACTCTTTCCAAATAATTCCTCTTCTGAGAACTGTCTTTGACAGAAGAAGGCTGGACCATTGGACTATTTAATGCAAACACTAAATATCCATCTGCTTCACATTGAAGTGGAAAAAATTCTAACAGGAGCAACTTTTACTTCAGTGAGGTGAAAGTGCACTATGAAAACTCTATGTATGCCTTTGCCGCACTTGGGGGATATTTTCAGTTACCTGGTGAAATCATGAAAGTGTTTCTTCTACATAACTGTATGATAGAACAATACCTAATTGTGAAGACAGAATTGAAAACCATTACTAGGAACCACAAAAGACCATTTGCCATAAAGTTTTTTTAAATCATGTTTTTCTTATAACTGTAAAAATGTATTTTCAGATATGTTACAAATTTTGAGTTTTGATGTACTGAATTTCTGAAATGTGTCTGCTATATTAATCAAAATATTAAAGACTATTTTTGTTGCACTACTGAAAAACTGCATCTAGCTAAGAGGCCTTAACTACTAGAATTGCAAATAGCCAATATATTAGGGTATCATATATATAGCCAATATATTAAATAACTATAAAGAGGGATGGAAATTCCTTTGAAAAAAAAATCAAAGTGTTTACACAAATTGTGTACAAATCATTTTGAAACGTTTTGCACACTGAAATATATTGAAGTGGGGTTTTCCACTAAATTGACTACTTAAATACCTGTATGACTTAATTGTAAGAGTATTAAAATATAGAACATTGAGAAAGCTAACTGTAGATGTGAACAGAATAGTGATTCTGTATATCTTGCATTTTAATACTTTTTCTAATATATTCTACTCTTTATAGTTCGAATTACATGCAGCTTAGTAAATGTACTAATGTTACTGTTTTAAGTTCAGATTTTCCCACTTCAGAACCTTTTCTTCTGTTCTTCAAATATTTAAAACTCCTAGAAATGTTTACAGCCTGACTAGACTTGTGTGTTTCAGATTTAACAGCACAGCTGCTACCTCTTCTAACAAATGTTGCTGCAAAGCTTTCAGGCGTAGATGCCACATGGTCAAATTCCTAACTTAACACTGCTTTTTTTAAAAAACAATAAATGCAGTACATCTCATGTACAAGTTTTACAGCTGTACTTTGTTTTGGTTATTTGTGACATTTTAGGACAATCTGCTATGGCATACTTGATCATTTGAACTGAAAAACAACTTGATGTGTTTTTAAGATGGCACCTGTGTTTTATATAACTGGAAAACAGATATTTCCAAATAAAAATTTAGAAAGTGCAAGCAGTGCACCAAAATGTAAACTGAAATATTTGTAGCATGCTAGCAAAGTTACTCATTTTTTTTATGCTAAATCCCAAACTAAGATTAAATATTAGCTTTATGTATATAATCAACTGCACTGCAGGCTGTAAGAAGGAGGCCTTATGTACATTTCCTTATAAAAACAATTCTGAATTGTTAAAATTAAAAGTCTAGTTTTGTCAACTTAGTTTACAGACTCTTCCAGCTGTACAGAGTCATGCAAATTTTCCTTGGATCTTATGTCTTTATATAAGAGAAAAGCTGTCTTGCTCTTGAGCCAACAGAGCTAAAAATAATTTAAGGACTAAATATGTAAAATCAGTAATTATTTCCATAATGTTTTAAGGGCTTACTATATGAAATCGGTAGCATCAATAACAGACTGTATAATTCTATAACACTACTATTCATCTGATCAACTAACTTAAGCCAAGTAGCAATTTTATGCTCTTTCACATTGACCTCCTATTTCGTAGGCTATTTTGCCTTGGTAATTGCTTTTTCTTTTATTCCATTCTGCAGATGGATAGGTAACATAAAGTGGCATTGTATAAATTAAAGACTTAAAATGATTATGAATGAATTAGATGGGAGATTTTGGAATATTTTGTGTATGGAGATTAGAATATTTTTTAAAATGTTAAGACAGATATGGTTTAGTTTTTTTTTCCATTAAAACTGGTATTAAATCATACATCCATACATTTTGCAACTTCAGTTCCTAGAAAATGCAACAGGGAATGGGCCACCAATCAGTAATGATGATTCACATATTACATATACCTAGCTTCAGTATGTGCTGCACCAGTGTGTACTGAACAAAGGATGGACAAGGTAAAGCATCTGAAGAATGTGTTTTGCAAAGCCATAGGACAGTGGTGGCGAACCTATGACACAGGTGCCAGAGGTGGCACTCAGAGCCCTCTCTGTGGGCACATGCGTCATCGCCCCAGTCCTAGGCCTTCAGCTGGGTTTTATAAAACCTTTTCACTTTAGGCCTCCGCCACCATGTGCAAAAAAAAAAAAAAGATTCAGTCAATTTCAACTTCTCGTGGGAAAAAAAAAGATCTTGCAAAGTTGGAATTTATTAACTTTTTAGTCCCACCCAATCTGCCGTTACCATCACAGCCACGCCCACCCAATGGGCCACACCTAGCCAATGGGCCACACCCACCCGGCACCCGACGATGCATAAGTGGGTTTTGGATTGCAGTTTGGGTATTCGGTCTCTAAAAGGTTTGCCATCACTGCCATAGGACAGTACAGCAGTTCAGACAGTCCTCATTTAGTGACCAGAGTTGGGACTGGAAACTCAGTCACTAAGTGATGCAGTTGCTAAGTGGAAAATCACATGGCTGTGACTGCTTTATTATTTTAGTTAAGCTTTCTTTTCCTCCCACTGCCTTTTGAAATGCTCACTCAGCACTAGGAAAATTACTAAGTAGGGATTTAATGTTTCTATTCATATTCATTGAAGAGAAAGGAGCTACAAGAAGGTAAGCAGGCACACAATGGGGAATACACACTGAAAAGAATACAACGATAGACAATACTAGTACATTCCTTTCAATGTATATTCCTCATTGTTTGTCTACTCTCTTGTAATCTCTATTTCTCCATTCTCTGCTGGGGGGGAGAGAAAAAAAAACATCATGTACAGGACAATGTAGAACTGTAATGGTGACATATGACTGAGGGATGCTGCAAAGATTGTAAAAGCTCAGTTTGGTCAGTTATCTTTTCAGCTCTATCAACATTTCAAAATGATTGCTGCACAAGGTGATTGGTAAGCAAGACTTGCTTGTACATATTCAGTCATCAAAAAGATCAGTCCTGGAGAAAGGCAACTCTAAAACACTTTTTGGAGATCAATTGCAAAGTGATTGTACGAAACATTCTACTGCAACTGAAGCATAAAAAATTTAAAAAGCCATGTCCTTTGGAGAATTTGCAAGCTGCTTCAAAAACTATCTTGCAGTCAGCATAAATGTATCTGCAATAATTTAGCTTCAATGGTGTCTGAATAAAGGTGCATGCACAGTTTTTACTTCTTTCATTTTGCACAGCCCTGTTGCTGCAATTACTAATATAGTAGTGCATAGCTAGGTCTATTTTGACAAGGATACTTCAGCAAAACTCATAAGCTAAGCAAAATAAGAGTTTAAATAGTGGAGAATCAATATACCTTATGGTTGAATTGTTGGAGTTCTTGTTCTTTGAGCTTTCTTCTTGCAAACTTTTTTCCTCATTTATGCACTTACGTTTCTTAGGCTAATAATGAAATAACTGCAAAAAGAAAAGGAAGCACAGAAAACACAAGAACCCAATAAAATAATTCCATAGTGCTCAACATCAAGTACTTGAATAATTATTATTTTTATTGGGCAGATCTATAATGTCTGCCAGGTATCATCTGAACTTTGTAAAACAGTAGACTTTGGCAATAAATTCCATATATATATTTTGAGTGATTATTTTTCTATTTTAATATCAACATTGGTAATATTTCTTTCTGCTTGACCCAGGATATTCTTTTAAAATATTAAACTAACTCATAAAAATTACATCTATTTAACAGTGACACTATGCAATCATTAGAGTCCCATTAGCAGGATGTTATATAAAGTTAGGAGCAATAATAATAAATGCTTTCCTTGTGGAGAATTGAAAATGAAAAAAATGAACTCACAAATTATACTAAACCATGATTTTTTTTTAGGTTTGTATGACATAGTGTGTCATAAAACATTTACAGACCACAATCCATATGCAGTGAGAAAGTATTCAGTTTATCAAATGTCATTTAAATATACTACTATAATTACATGTTGTAATCAATAAAATACATTACTGGTCTTTTTTTAATTAAATACTAAAGTTTAATTTCTCCATCTGAAAACCTGTTGCCAATTTTTTTCTCTGAACTATCTTGATTCACAGTAAGCAGTAAAGAAATATATTCAGCACCAATCTCTTCAAAACTCATCTTTGCTTAAAGGATGTCTTTAAAAAAGTCGTGAAATGAACTGTTTGATGAAGACCTGCATACAAACAGTCAAATTATGTGATGAAACATAGATGAAGCATGCTACGTATCAGAGTACTGTTTAATATGCTGCAGTTCTTGTGCTGATTGGTAACACTTTGCGATACACACCTAAGTTTTTGCTTTGAAATGTTTGGGTCCAGCACTGGCAAAGTTTCTGTAACTATATAAATATATAATACAAAGTTTCTGTAACTATATAAATATATAATACATGAAGCCAGGATAGAGTCAACATCCTATACATCTACCATATGATGTAAATAATATCATTAGACAAGTCTACATGAAAATTCCACCATTTTATGTACCTATTTCTTTTACTGATAAGCCTGTCCTATTAATTTTAACCACATCAGCTAGAAAAAAAGACTATGGAGCTTTTTGCCCTTAGCTATTCTGTATGCAACTGGATAATTTCCGGGTTAATTGAGATTTTTGTTTTCCTCAGTAAGTTTTGGTGCAGATAGGGCAACCTAACCATCTATTTAACTGTTAAGGCCGATTTTCACAATTGCAATAAAGATAAAAATATTCAAAACAGGATTCAAATGACAAAAGCAACATGGTGCCATCGTAATATATGCTCTGGTGCTTTCATACATTATCAGTAAGGTGACCAACCGTCCTCCTTTAGGGAGGACAGTCCTCCTTTTGTGAGTTCTGTCCTCCCTTGAAAAGTGTCCTCCTACATGTCCTCCTTTTCAATATTTGAAGACTAATCTGCAGAGCTTTTTTTTTTCTCATAGAATGCTCAGAACTGCATTCCGGCACCTTTTTTGATGGTTTTTTTTTCAACTTTTGCATGAGCTGTGCTACTCCTCCTATTGGCTTTCGAAAACCAACAGGAATTGCTGCTGACCATGCCAAAACACCCGGCTGGCAAACTTTGCACATGTAAGTTGTCTGCAGCGAAGGCGAATTGGCAGGAACTTTGCACCCCTCCCTGCTACCCATCTACACCATCTCCTAGTTAGTCCCGAAGATACCTGAGGAGACTGGAGCCGCGATGTCATGGTAACTTTCTCTTGATCTTCAGCCCTGCTAGGGCAATAATGGCTGCAGGTGCAAGAGGCAGGGGTGGCGGGGCTGCTGCGGGTAGGGGTATGAGGAGCGGCGGTGGCCGGCTGCCCCCCATGCTGTGGGAGCTGTGGGGCCTGCTCTACACCGGGCTGTGCAGGGTGGGCTGTGGTGCTGGCGGGGCGGCTGCAAGAGGGGTGTGTTGATGGTGGGCTGCCCCCCCCCGGGCTGGAGCTGGCACAGCTGATGCTTTGGAAGCCGCGGGGCCCGCTCTACCTGGTGGGGCAGCAATGCTGGCGGGGCAGCTGCAGGCGGATGCGGCATTTAAGCATAATTACAATATAAAATGTTATTGTTACAAATGTTTTTATTATGCATTTATCATATTGTAGTGTATTCTGTATTATTATTGCAATGAATAAAATGTTTCTTTTATTTACGATATTTTCTTTAATTTATTTGTGTCCTTTTCATTGTAAAAAAGTTGGTCACCTTAATTATGTATGTACATTATGATGTGTGCATATTTGAAAGGGCAAGAGCTTGCACAATGGCATGCTGCTCTTTTTTTATACTAATTTTATTAGAAATTGCAATTAAAAATGTCCAGTAAAACTTTGTTTTTCTTCCATAGCATCTTTAAAATAGACACTATATAGAAAGGCAGACACACTTAAAATTAACTTTTGGATCCATTTCAGATTCTTTTAGCAATGATTGAGATGAGAAACATGGCTTAGCCACGCCCAAACTAGTCATCACTAGTCAAGCTTCTGCATCCTAATCCCTCTTGCTGAAATAAATAAAACTTTATAGTGCAACATTTTTATATATTTATCAGATAGTGAATCAGAGCAACATTCAATAAAATGCAGTACCTGATTAATAACCTAAATATATGAATCTACAAATGAAACTATTAAATATCACCTCTGCAATGCCTCCGATCTATCTGTATTCCATACACTATACATAGTTAATATACAGAGGAAGCAGTTGCTTCCCCAACAACAGGAAAGTTCACATACATTTTGAGAATTTAATTTCCCGTGAAAAACTTTTGATACTCTGCAACCCTTCACAAGTATAAATTTGCCGCAACCCAGTAGTGATATTGTAAGGGACTGGAGGTGTTTCAAACTTAAAAAAAAATCCATGTGTCTGCAAAATTAAATTGCTGCAAAAATTAATCTAATTAGTGTTTCCACTCGGGTGGGTCACGAAGATTTTTATCCTGATTGTTCGAGTAGGGGAGGATATACTTTTGTCGAATCACAATAATATTATAGCCCGTCTGGCAACAAGACGGGCTATCAAGCAAGGTTCATTTCCACGATCCCCTCGGAAAGAACGCTATAGAAGGAACCGGAAATCCGGAGTTTGAGAGTCGAGGACCAGAATCGGGCGCATACCATCTTTGCCACGTGACCACACGCTGCGCCGGGCACGTCGAAAGGCTCATTCCGGTCGCTTGGCGCATGCGCCGGTAGGGGAAAAAAAAAAAAAAGCTTCCTTCCGCTTGTTCGTTATCCCGGTATCTGGCGCAAGAGCTATCATGGCGGTCAGGCCCTTTGGTCTTCTCGGGACGGTTTTAGTGCTGGCGGTTCTGTTACAGTTCCCCTCACGTTCGTGGGCTTCAGAAACGCCCGGTAGTGGTGGTGGTGGTGCTGGCGGGGATGCTCTTGGCGCCGGTGAGAGGTTTAAGATCGAGGGCCGCGCGGTGGTGCCGGGGGTGAAGCCCCAAGACTGGATTGCGGGCGGCCGAGTGCTGGTGGATGGGGAGGAGCACGTCGGCTTCCTCAAGTGAGTAGCAGCCGCGATGGCGGTAACCGTCGTCAACCGTCGTCTCTCTCCCAGCCCCGGTCTGGCCGTGCGGACCCAGTCTGGGGGTCCTTGTTGGGTGGAGGCGAGGGGGATCCCGCTGCGTTTCGGAGCACGTCGAGAGCTGGTTTCTGATTTGCTCTGAATCCTCGCATCTCTTCGGCGAGCCCCCGGGAGGCTGGCCGCGGTTTGTAGTTAAGCCGTCCGCAGGGCTAAATTAGGCAACCAGGAAGGGGCAAAGTAATGTCAGAAGCGGAATGACAACGATGTTTAACCCTGGGGCAGAACTTAATATAGATATTAAGCAAGTTTTGCACTTAGAACCTGGGTGAAAAACTACCAGAAAGCCCCGCAATGTTAAAGGAGGAATTGAAGACACTGACAAGATACTTCTCTGGTGTTGTCAAGTAAACAATATAGTTGTGTCCGTGGAGTCAAGCTTGTGTCGAGGGAGGTTTTTGCCTGGAGAGCCAGCAGATTGTAGATGAGAGTTTGGATTCTGAATTGGCCCTGGGGAGAGACTGCTTCAAATTCATCCTTAGCCTTGGAAGTTCAGTCACTTTCCCAGCCGATCCTAATTGACAGCAAAAGTTGGAGTAGGAAGTTTCTAAAAGGAAGACTTGATATAAATTATATCAACATTTAAAGCTTCCTGTCTCCTTAGACAAAGACAACAATACTAGAGATGATTACCCATTATTACTATTTTTTCTGTCTTAAAATCTTATACCAGAGAGCAGGCTGAGGGAAAGCTGGCCTGGATTAGGTCAAGGCAGAGTGGCCAAGACAAATTTTAGAGCATATTTATTGTGTCACAGTGTGTGTGGGTTGGGTTGTTCCTTGGGAAGATCACAAGCAGCTTGTTCTAAACGTATTTGGCCTCACAAAGCATACCTCTCAATCTTTACAGTTGGTTTTCGGCTCTGAGGCAGAATAAACTGCTCAGTTTCAGATATCCTTGTATTTCTGATCCGCAGATAAGTTTCCACACACATACTCGGCTATTTGAAAACATGAATACCAACATGTTTTAAAGTACATCTTTATTAAAACTTGGACATACAATGTCATGCATCCAACCATTAATTATGTTTTTGTTCTTAATGGTAAATCAGAATTGGACCTAGAACTATAAGTGTCAAAAATTGAATTAGTTATATTATTGTGGTATCTTTAAACATTATATTGATGGGGAAGCTTTCTCCCTATGCAGAAGCGCAGTTGCTTTTAAGGGGTGCATTAACCTCTTTTTTATATTCTGTGTTGAAATGCTAACACAGCTTTTCATATTACATAATGAATTCCTGCAGAGTAGAAGTACATGCACACAGAATCAGGTTGCTTCTGATATTGAGAAATGAATATATTCCACTGTATGGTTGATTAAGATTTCATTAAGTGTAAAGTGATGTACATCAGAGCAAAACCTAACTTCACATGAGTTCTGGTAAAGCCTGATGTCTAGCCAGGTGATTAGAATCGTAGTGGTTAGTTCAGTGAAGATGTTGACTCAAATGTACAATATCTGTCAACATTGCAATGTTCTTCTACAAGTCTAATGCTTCTACATCTATAAAACTATGTACTGTTCTGGTGGTCATATTGGAAAAATAGTAGAGCTGGAAAAATGTAGAAGATGCCAATATGATTTGGGGACTCAAATACATTCCATACAACAAAAGGATAGTACATTTGGAATTTTAGCTTAGAAAAAGAAAGTGGGCAGATTTATTGTAAACTTCCCAGAGAATTTTGCTATTTTATTTATTAAATATTAATATTTTTTCTCTCTTAAAATAGTGGGACCAGTGGTCATCCAATCAAGCTAATTGGAAGGAATTTAAATGCTGTATATAATTGCAGATAAGCCAATCCTCAAAATAAACCAAACTTCAAATTTTTAACTGCAAGAACCTGCAAACTGTTATTTATAAATTAGTATAATTTTAAGGCTGTGATGAGCTTTAAAAATTTGACCTCTCATCTGCAAATAATCTAAACCTAATTTTGGGGGTGTGATGTCAAATTTGTCCTGATGCAGTGAGACTGTTTTTATGTCTTTTTACAGCCACTATGACTGGTAGTATTTTTTTAAAAGTCTATTCACTTTGATTAAAAATGTAGAGTAGCTTAGAAATATAAGGGATAACTACATTTTCTGAACTGTATACTTAAATATATTTAAGCACAATCTACCAATCATATTCATTGTGTGACTCCAATTTATAGTGTGTGTGTGTGTGTGTGTGTGTGTGTATTGGAAACAATATACTTCATTTGTTTTTATGTGAAAATCCAACAGGTCTCTAAGATAAATATTCTTTGTATCAGTGATTTTTGCAGCTTGTCTCAGGCCTAGTGTTTCTGCTGAGATAGAAACTAGAACGTTTTATCTTGTATTCATAACTGCCCTGCTATACCAGTTCACTGTCACTTGTTAGTAACGAAGACCATTGTACTACATATATGTTGGCAGGAATTATAATCTTATTTTCTTAACACAGAGTCTAATAGTCTGAAATATAGCTCTAAACTGATTAAGCAAAACTTTTTTTGTGTTATGTAATCTAAAATTATTGTGTTATCTCTGAAAATATTCTGTGATAGAGTTATATGTTTGGCTCTTTTCTATTTTACCAGGACAGATGGAAGCTTCGTAGTTCATGATATTCCTTCTGGATCATACGTTGTTGAAGTTATATCTCCAGCTTACAAATTTGAACCAGTACGAGTAGATATTACTTCAAGAGGAAAAATGAGGTGAACTGTTTAAAATTTCATATTGCAATAAGTTAATATATTTTGTAAGTTATGAGATGAAAAGCTTAATTTTAATATCTACATACAACATACTACATTTGGAAAAGCTTTTGAGAAGTTAAGATCTAGTGAGTCAAAAATCCAAATAGCCATTTTGTGTTCATTTTTATTGGGATAAAATATTTGTTAATGAACATTGTAATATGTAATATATAGACTTGTTTCTTTGGCTTATCACAATATATAAATCAAATCATTTGGCTTATGAAATTTGGTTTGATTGAATGTGATTGAATATTGTGTAAACTAGGTCATTGACCTATTTAATAAATAACAATTAAAACAAATGGTGATTTACTGCTGTATATTAATGCAGCCATAATTTTATTGCTAAGACTGTGTTGATATTCATATTGTAATTACATAAACAATTTGAACTTATCTTGCATATATGATTGTTAATTATTTAAAAAGAAATAAAACCTAGCTTTAATACGTGATTTTCTTAAAATTACAGTTTTAATATTTCATATAAATTTTGTATGAAGTAGTTTACTTGTAGTTGACTTGTTGTGATACCTGGTATAATATCTCCATAGATGAAATGGCATGTTAGTTAAATCATTCTCAAGCTTCTCTTGCCTTAATAAATTGTAGGAAAAGCCCCAGAGTTTGGAAAATATAAATCCATTCAGGTAGGATAGTCTTTTTTTAAGGTTCAGCAACAATTCAAAATTACAATGATGCTGAACATGGGGATTTTAGCTGTTGCAATGTATCCATGGTTACATGAACATAATTTGGGCCCCACTGCATTTATGACTGCCTTGGGATGGCCACCTACCTACTACTAACAGCCTCGCTTTATCACAAGTGTGGTGGCAGAATACAACATGGTTGAAAGGTTAGAGATGGGAAAATAGATGGTGGGAATTGAAGAGGAAAAAGTCCCATATTTTATCAAATCTCAGGGCTGGTAGGGACCAAGCTGAGAGTGGGATCAGGGTGGGTTTTTGGGTAACAACTGATAAGAATTGGTAAACAACAGCAAAGAAGACTGGGATTGCTGTCACTAAGCAATGCAGTGATGTAACATTGTGCTTTATGACTATCAATCTAAGTGATAGAAATTCTAGTCCCAACTGCCATCATAATTCGAAGGCTATCTGTATAGCAACCTGGTAGCAACTACATACAGTGCAGACTCCCACTGAAATAAATAATAATAATTTAGACTGCTGTCCTAAGAACATTTCTCTGCAAATAAGCAGCATTTAATCTAATTGTAGGCTCTTCAGTGGAAATGCATTGATGTGCACTGCTTACATTATCACCGGATACAGTGTAGAGGTATTGATAAAGAAAATGTCTTTCATTTAATTTAAAAATCTATAGAACACACTTTTATTTTTTATTTCAGAGCAAGATATGTGAATTATATCAAAACATCAGAAGTTGTTCGATTGCCATATCCTCTTCAAATGAAATCTTCTGGGCCTCCTTCATATTTTATAAAGAGAGAGTCTTGGGGATGGACAGATTTTTTAATGAACCCCATGGTATGTATGGAATCGTGTAAACATAAACAGGTTTATCAGATTATTTTTCCATTTGTAAAAATTACATATTAAACAAGTTTTTAACTTTTTTATTTTATTGTGGGTTTTAATTGTGCGTTTTAATTATTCAGAATTTTATTTGGTGATTTTAGTATGTTGTAAGTTCTAAGAAATGTCAACAGTGCTATGTCTGACATAAACAAAATTATATAGTTTCTGTAAGGAAATATGTGGAGTAGATATATTCACTTTTGGATAAGTGTGTTGGAGACTGACACAAAATATATTGAGAGGAATTAACTAAACAGGAATTTCATTTCCTAAGTCTTTCTTAAGAATATGTTTAAGATTGCAGTTCTGTCATTTCTGTCTCACAAGTAGGTTCTTTTTGCAAAAAATAATGTATCTTAATACTATATATTATATAAATAAAAGTTGAAATAATTTATTTTATTTAATAATTTAATTTATTTAATATTGAACTCAGTTGTGAAGTATAAAAACAAAGCAAAACTTTACAGATAGATTTAATCATGTCTTAGAAACCTGGAATACTGATTAAAATTAGGCATTTGGACTAGGTTGGTTTCCATAAGATAATCTGAGTAGTTCTTGTTTGGTTGATTATGTGCTATCAATTGGATGTCAACTCTTGGTGATCACATAAATGTTTTCGTCATGATGATATATTGCTAAATGGGTCTTTCAGTGTTGCACATATCATTATAGTAACTGAGCCCATTCATGCTGCTGCTGATCACCCTCTTCTCTTTCCTTGCACTTTTCTGAGCCTTCTCCAGAGAGCTAGGCCTTCACATAATATGTCCAAAGTAGAATATTGTCATTTATGCCTTGAAGGGTTGATTTGTTCCATTTGTTTCCTGGCTGTCCACAATATTGTGAGGAGTCTTCTCCAACACTAAAGTTCAAAAGTATCAATACTCTTTCAATCCTACTTTGTCACAGTCCAGGTTTTGTTCCCATAGAGTATCACAGGGAATACCATTGCTTGCACTATTTTGATTTTTGTAGATATAAAATCAGAGCGTCTACCGTATATGCCGCTGTATTAGGCGACCCGGCGTATAAGACGACCCCCGTCTTTATAGCCGAGCCGCATTCCTAGAACGTTGTCTTATACGCCGGAAACTACCAGTATTTCCGGCGTATAAGACGACTCGGCGTATAAGACGACCCCCGTCTTTGGCACCGATTTCAGCACTCACGGAAGTCGTCTTATACGTCGGCATTTATGGTAAATAACTTTTTGGATGAGTGGCTCTACTTGTTTTTTACATATTAAAAATGACTTCAGAATTATAGGGAAAATGATTGCAGATAACGAGCTCATAATAAAATCAATCTGTTAATCATAGGCTTGAAAGAATCTTAAAAGTTGTATAATTTAGTACTAAGAGAAGAACGCCATTGTGAAATTCAATTATAGGTTATTTGATAATGGCCATCCAAATTCTTCTTAAATTCCTTCAGTTAGTGCCCACAAAGTCTTGAAAAATACAGTTACACTATTGAACAGCTTTTAATATTTTATACTGCTGCTACCATTCAAATTCATTATTTTAATTTTTTTTAGAAAAAAATCTGTTATAGTATCTACTATTTGGTATTGATCCTTCCTTTCAATATAGTAAAGAACAAATATGCTTTATAATCCCAAGAGATTTGTAATCTCTGGCTATTTAGAACACATTTGATAAATGTAACTTAAGTAACCTTAAGGTAACCTTTTCTCAGTCTTAAGAAATTGTATGAAGCTGTGTCTTGAATATTTCTGATCATCATACTTTGTTATGAAAGATTCAATAGTTTTAGCTAATATCAAACAAATAATGATCATGTGAATTAGGTGAATTCAGATTAGTCATAATATATTCAATTTATTTTCATGACTTTGTTTTTGATCGTTCACAAAACTACAGTAGTTTTCAAGAGGAGTGATTTATTTTAAGCATTAAATGGTTAACAGTAACATCAAGCATCAAATGGTTAATGAATTAATAATACCTTTTGAATTTTTTTCTGTTTAAGGTTTTGATGATGATCCTTCCATTACTAATCTTTGTATTATTACCTAAAGTTGTCAATACAAGTGATCCTGACATGAGGCGGGTGAGTAAGCTTTGCAAAAGTGAAAACTGCAAATATTGAATCTAGATATAGATGTAAGTATAGGTATAGATATAGATATATAATATACAGAATCAGAAAGTGTCAGATATAATAGTGAGATTTTGGTTTATTTCTATAACTGAAATATAATTCTGAGCTAAAAACTTCCAACAATGAAAAGAATATGGAAATTATTACTGGAAAGTAGGGTTTATGACATAAAAGGAGATCAGTTTTTCCATGTTTTATTTGCATTCCCCCAAAAGCTTATGAAATATAGGATGGGCTTAAAGAAAATGGAGATAGCCTCATGTGGTAAAATGACATTTATTTATAGGACCTGTATGGCTGCCTTTCTCATAAAATGATAGTAGCCTGCTCACCACATCCTATGAAGCTTACCTGAAACAAAAATACCCTTCTCCCAGGCATCAGCCTAGTTAAACCCCTACATGGAAAACCAAATGTGATAAACATTTGCTGGATAATCTTAATTTCAGCAGTTTTGTGCTCCCCACCTACACAAAATACTGTGGTGTGCTCTGAATCTCAAAGTCAAATCAAGAAAGCATTCCCACGAGAGAATTAATGTCCTCTCATTTGATGATTGAATGGGAAATCTTGAAGAGCAGATTTGTTTTCCATGTGGGTTTATCCCATATTTCATCAAAGTTTATTTTGGAGGATGTTAGCTTTTACTCTTTAGTCACCAGTAAAGGCACTTGCTGCGTAAACTTTCTTTTACTCCTATTTGGAATTAGCATACTCTTTTTTCCTTTTTCTTTTTGGATATGAGAGCTCTAGTAAACATTGTTAATTAAAGCAAAGTCCTGGACAGAACCTCTATGGCTACCTGAGCATGGGTGCTCTACTATGATTTGATTTTTTGAACTGCTCTGATGTTAGATCAAGAGCCTTTTTGCATTCACTGTAGCAAATTGTTTAGTACTGATTTCTAATAAAAATGTTTTAACTAACCTTGGTTAAAAAGAATTCAGTTTCTGTGCTGAGTATAAGTCTTTTAAATTTTCTGCCACCTTATGATGTCCTCTCCTTCTCTTTGTCATTATGATTTCTGCAAGAATTTCCACACTTTTGATAAATTCACAATAGTAGGAAGTTGTAGTATAATATTTAATTCACAATAGTAGGAAGTTATAGTATAATATTTCTTACATTATTTTAATTCATTGTCCTTTCACCATGCATTATGCCGAATAGCGGAGGGCTAGAACAAAATGGAGACTCAAGGTGTTTACTAAATCTTCTATATTTAGTGGTGCTTACTGTGTGCCTTTGGCTGCTGCTTCTGGGGTTCAGTTGGTATTAATTTTTATTTCCTCTGAATTATCTTTGTCTTCAGTAGTTCTTTACAGGTATCATGTTATTTTCAGGTTATTCCCATTTCACTCTAGTCTAGATCCTGAAATGTCAAAATAGTCAATTATTGTGCTTGGATGATATCTCTGCTCATTTGTTTGAAGAAAAGCTATAAAAAAAATAACACTTAGAACTGAGATTTTCCAGTTTTTCAAAATGTGTAAGAATCAACATTGTCCTGTAAGACTACTTTAGACATGTTTTTAAGCTTTTTTGTTTTTAGTAGTTTCTTTCCTATATATGTAATAATTATCTTTTAAGTTCTTCACACTGGCTGTATAGAGGAGTCTGTAGTGGGGTTGTGTGATAGAGAGCAAATGCAAAGTGTAAAAATTCACTGTCTATTCTTTAGTATATGATTTAGAAATGGTTTTTTCTTATACTTTCCTCTGTTTGTATGTATTTAGGAAATGGAGCAATCCATGAATATGTTGAATTCTAACCATGAGCTGCCTGATGTGTCAGAGTTTATGACAAGACTTTTCTCTTCAAAATCTTCCAGCAAGTCTACTGGCAGTAGCAGTAAAATAGGAAAAAGTGGTGCGGGAAAAAGGAGGTAGTTGTTTCTTTTCCTGGAACCACAATTTGCACAGCTCTGTGATGTGTTATCATCTGGATGCTCTGTGAAAGAACAGAAAGCCACTACTGTAACCTTGATTCAGTTTGAATTTTGAGAGGATACAACTGTAGCTTTTTAATCTATTTAAATATCTTGTTCTTGAAATACCCGGGCGCATCACTTCTGTCTAAAATATGTAAGGTCAGTACTGATGATAATTTAACTCCTTTGTAGAGAATGACATTAAAGAATTTAAATTATGTGCAATATATTAATGATTCTTAAACAATACATCACTGTAAATAATTTAATTTTAAGAAATAGAAAACATTCTTTAATAATGGCAATGGTATAATTGTGCATTTCTTAATATTCAACACAATTGCTACATTTTTTTCTGGAAAAAGTTTCAGATGTTTTCTTCCAGAATCTTAGTTTAACTTCCTATTTGATTCATTCCCAAATTTCTTTGATATTTTTTTCTATGGGATGCTTTGATATTTCTCATTATTTAAGCCTTGTTTAGGCAAATCCCCAGTGATAAACACATGTTCCTCTATTAATCTTACTTTTAAAAAGGATTCCCTGAGTACCTTGTATTGTAAGTTTATAAAAGGTAATACAATTCTGTGCTGGTATAACTAAAGAGAGCCAATTATTTGACATAGTTTGTCACTACAAACTTGTAATACAAGGCTAATGGAATAGCTTTTCGTGATGCTAACATCTGAAGAACGGAGCAATTATGGATTGATTGAGTACAATATTAATACAGAGGTGATTTATGTAATTATTAGGTTTCAACTCCTTCCCTGTTCTTGATAAAATAAGCAAAATAGCTGACCTAGAAGCTTATATCTATTCTATGATTTTTATAGTCAAGACTAGAGAAAGTTTCAGGAAAAGCAGTAATCCCTATTTAGTATCTGAGAGAAATAATTTATTCTGCTTTTTTTTGTTTTTTGGTAGGTGTAATGCATGATAATTAGACATTTATTCAAAGTCAAAAGCCACTAGTTTGCCACAGAAATACCTTTGCCCATAGAGCTAAGTAGACATCAGCAAAATAATAGTCATAGTCCTTTTATCTCAGTTTCAATTCCAGTATCTCTAAACTTAAGTGTTTTACAGCCACCGGGGGGGGGGGGGGGAATTGGCAGGTAGTATTTTGCTAAGAATAGAAATTAATGAATGTATGTCAAGGGGACAGTGCAGAAACAAAGACAGAGGGGAACCCAGCTTAGTCTTGAATCCAATTTCCTCATTTCGCAGAAAAATTTGGAATAAAGTCATATTCCAAATGTTAATGCAAAAGTACATCATGGCAGCTTACATAATTTGGTCATTGCAAAATTAATATATAACTGCCTCTTCCAAAATATTATATATATGGCAGGCTTGTTTCATGGGAGAATAATTAGATGGAGATTTGGTCTTTTGCATGCAAAGTTGTAGTTTGTTAAATTGAGATTTCACATAATCAAACACTTGTATTTCTCTCAGCACTGAAAAGTTGTCCAAACAGTTATATGACAACAAAAACATTATGAAGTGTCAGATTTGATTCTGCTATCCATGATTATAGATTGAAGGGTTAAAGTCAGAGGAGCCATTCATTCTGAATTTTTTGACAGTCAAGTACAAATTTTTTGTCAGAGTCAAATACAATTGTGTGCTGTTTTTTTTTTTCCATTCAGTTGTGTCAAATTCTCAGAGATTGCCTGAACATGTCCCTGCGGTTTTCTTGGTAAGGTTTTTCAGAAGTGGTTTGCCATTGCCTCCTCCTAGGGTTGAGAAAATGTGACTGTCCCAAGATTCACCCAGCTGGCCTTTGTGCCCAGAGTGGAACTAGAACACAATCTCCCATTTTGTAGTTGCAATAATTCACATCAAACAAGCAACTTAACAAAATAGGATGAAGGGAAATTAATTTGTTAATCATCATGGTTTAAATTTGCTTATTCACCTCAAAATATTTAGCTTTTTTCTGTTTTCAGTAATGAATCATTTCACTTATGGTGGGCTGCTTTAAATGAAGCAGTTAGTCCAAGGAAGGTTTCTTTCACACATATTAGATACATGGGGGAAAATATTAATATTCCAATGGCATGTAGCTAGAAAACAGTTCTAATGGAATACTCTCTCAAAGTAGACTGATAAAATGAGTGAGAAGGGACTTTATTGGTTACCTAGTTCAAGGCTATGTTCAACATACGAAGTCACTAAATCATCCCCACTGAGTGGCCATCTTTGAAAACCTTAAGGTGTGAGGGAAAGACCTTTCATTGTGCCTGCCAGGCTGTTCTACTATCTAATAACAAAGAATAGGTCTGTTTCTTTCTGTATCTAGCAGCCGTTTAAATGTAGACTTCACCTTAATTTTCTCTTTTCCAAGTGCTTGGTTCCAGGCTTTCAGTCCTCCTAATACCTGTCCACTGAATTTGATCCAGCTTCTCCATATTCCCTTTTTAAAAGTGCAGGGCCCAGAACTAAACACAGCACTCAAGCACGTAACAACAAATAGTGCACTGGAACCTATTACCTCCGGTGATCCAAACACAATGCTTTTATTTATGTCACCCAAAAAGTGCATTGGTCTTCATCTTCTAACATCTTCATCTGATAGTTAGTACTAAAATCTTTTTTTCACATGCACTGTTGCCAGGCTACCTCATCTCAATACTGTGCATATATGTATGATTTTGCAAGACTTTTAACTTGTTGGATTTGACCTGGTGTTCAAGCTTGTGGAGTTCATTTCAAACTATAGGCTTGTTCTTTAAACTTGTTAGTTAATATTGCGAATTTGGTGTTGCCTGCAAATTTGGTTCCATTTTTTTTCCCATCTTCAATGTGAAAGCCCTTCAGAATGATGCACGGCCATTTTTCAATATCTCTTAGGTGAAGTTGTTTGAGGTGTTATAAATCCACTGAAACACAGTTCTATCTAGCTCACATTTATCCATCTTGACATCTGTTGTCCATTTCAGAAGCTGTTTATGAGTTAGCCAAACAGTTCTTTCAGTTTAAGTAGAGGTGTAGTAGGTATTCTAATGATTCCATATATGAAAGAATTTGGTTTGGGATGATCCAGCCTCAAACTGAAAGAGAGGTTATGGACTGAAACACAGTTGTTCTGAGCAGTTTGGCAGGTAATGGCATGAAAAAGCCAAGGCACCGAGGAGAGGAAAAATTAGAAGGAGGATCCGAGGTGGGCAAACTGCTGAGGAATGTCTTTCCTTTGCTGCTAAGTCCATTGCAATTGGAAACAGATGAGCAGGTCAATGGTGAAGGACAAGAGGTCTGTGAAAATCGAGACCAACAGGCTGATGACTTATGCTGTCCTGGGGGATCGTGAATGGAGAAAGAAAGTGATACATTTTGCCCTACTCACCATATACAAAAATTATAGGATCCCTCACAGTTTGTTTTCTGCTAAGCTGCAGTCTGGCAAAATTTCAAAACAGAATGGTTTGCTCTGGGTTCACACCAAAATGTGTTTCCTGTTTTATTCATATCCTGATACTGGAGTGGTATTACAGGTGAGGCACTGAAAAAAATATTCCATGAAATACAGAGTATAAAAAGTAGGCTTATACAAAGAAGTGAAAATGGCTCATTGCTTTTTAGCTTAAAAGTTGGCAAAAACAAATGAGGTGATTAAAGCACTTGAAAATGCTATTTTGGGTATAATTGGAAGCATGTATTCCCAAGAATCCTTTCTTACCTCCCTTAGTGGGAAAAGAAAATTATATTTTATAATGATAAACCATCTGATATAAAGTGTGGACTAGACTACCAGTGTGGACTAGACTACCATGGTTTGTTCAAATTATAATTAAAAGAAACCATAGCTTAGTTTGCTTGAACAGCACAAGTGCACAATTGAGAAAGATCTGTGTCACAAATTAAGCCAAGCCATAGATTGTTTTACCATAAATTATTTAATAAATTACAGTTAACTCAGTTCATGGAACACATTAAGCCCAAGTCAAACATGCAATTATGGATTATTGTATTTCCATGGAAGTCTTCTCCCAAGTTGTATCCTTATAAAGTAGATTAATTTATTCACAGAAATGCAAAAAATGGGTTGCTTGTCACTAGGAGCACACTAGAAGCTCATCTCAGGACACTTCTAACTTGTGGAACATACCTGCATTCAAAGCATGCTGTTTCTAACTGATAATAAATAAATGATTTCAAGCCTTTTTGTGTTGGTCTTGCTTATTATTCCAAATTTTCTGATGCTTTAGTTCTTCTCTCAGTAATCCGATTCCTCGCTCCAGTTGCTGTTCTCCTATTTTAATTTTCCCAAGAAGTAATTAATGCCTTGTTTATATATTTCATTTTGTTGCCTTTATTTGATATACATGCTACATCAGAAAGCAACAGTGAAAGACATTGAAATAAGAAAAGATACATTCTTAAAATGTGTTGCATCTTTTCCTTTCCCATTGAGGCTTCTTTAACAATATGTACCTGTTGTTTAGTTTATGACTAGGCTAATTTCTGTTTGTAAAAAATTGTTAAAAAGGAAAACACAGTTTCCAGAACTTCAAAGGAGGCATAGATGCCATGCTATAATGCTAATATAACCTTTATTAAGTAATAATTGAGCCTAAAATTCCAAGTAACAATTTTATTCAGCCTATATGCCACTCCAGTTCTGAAGAGACCAAACAGCTTACAGCACACTGACAAATTGGACTAAAATTAATAATGATAACCATTTGGAGGCAGTATGATTATTCTCAGACCAAAACTGCTACTCTTGTCTCCCAGAGATAATAGGGAGGAAGTGGTCAGGTATTTGAAGGTAAGCTATTTTACATATTAAACAAGCATAGGTAATGTGACTCCATTCTTAATTGTTTCTATATTGGCAGGTTAACTTCAAACTCTCCTTGTTTTAAAATCCTGATCATACCTTATGATTAATCCTATTCCTAGGGAGCTTTGAGCCATCAATTCAACTTTGTTGACCCATTGACAATTCAAACATCATCATTTCAAAAGAACAGCTAGAAGCCTTTCTTCCATAGCAACTGTAACTAAGTTACACTCAGGGTCTCATGCCAATAGTAAATAAGCTAGGCATTTGGCCTACTCTTAAATTATAAATTAAGTGGTTGCTTTCCAAATACAAATATTAAAATACACTAAGGAGCACTACTAACTTGCAGAAACTCTTCATTTCCCTCTCTAGTTTTAACTGCTCTGCTTAGCAAGCAGCGCATTGCACGCTGAACGAAGGCTGAAATGGTGAAGCATTTAGATGATTTGTGATCTGGGAGGAACAAATCAAAGTTTTCCTTCATCAATGTTTGACTATTGACAGGTTGATACAACTGTCCACTCAGGAGACATGATCCCAATGAGGAGAAAGTATTGACGAATTATGATTCATACAGGATGCTATGAGAGCAAATGTTATCAGTTTATAAGCACTTATAGGTCTATAATGTTTTCCTATATCCAGCTTAATAGGTCTTTCAGTTATCTCCACAGAGGCACCAATAGATCAGGGGTATCAAACTGCCGTTAGTTATGCGGAGGCTGCACCCACCCCAGTTCGGCAATGCGATAAAAGTCACGATACATCACTTGACGTGGCGAGTTTGACATCTGTGCAGTAGAAATAGTTACAAAAACTGCTGAATTTCACATGTTTTCAATAAAGCCTTTTCTAAATAATGTCCGTGAAAGGGGAAAAAAACCCGAGCTGTTGTTGGTGTTTATCATCCATGAGTTTATTGTATGTGGGTAGATTTTAATATTATTTGGAGAAAATACATATTAAATATTCTCTAGTTAAGACTTTTCATATAATTCACAGCATAAAATGTTTTCACTTAAGTACATACAATTTTAAAGCTAATTTTTATTATGCCAAATACTGGCTAAGAATAACCAACACTACTTTGTACCACTTCTGGTGAAATTAATATTTGTTAGCATCATAACAGGTAAACTGTGGATTTTTGTTGCTGTTAATACATAAAATGTATCTCAATTTAACTTAAATACATACTTTCACAATTTAATAAATATTATTTAGGCTTTCAGGCCTGCTGTTCTTTTTTGCTGGTCACCCCATTTTGGCAGCTCAAATGTAGCAACCCTTTGTTTACTATGCTTAGGGCAGTGATGGCAAACCTTTTAGAGACCGAATGCCCAAACTGCAACCCAAAACCCACTTATGCATGGTCGGGTGCTGGGTGGGTGTGGCCCGTTGGGTGGGCATGGCCCATTGGGTGGGCGTGTCTGTGGTAGTAACAGCAGACTGGGTGGGACTAAAAAGTTCAATCAATTCCAACTTTGCAAGATCTTTTTTTTTTCCTGCAAGAAGTTGAAATTGACTGAACCTTTTTTTTTTTACACAGCGGCGGAGGCCTAAAGGGAAAAGGTTTTATAAAACCCAGCGATGGTGCACATGCCCACAGAGAGGTCTCTGAGTGCCACCTCTGGCACTCATGCCATAGGTTCGCCACCACTGGCTTAGGGTATAGCTGATACCACCCTATTCTTTCTGCAAAACAGTGTTACAAAAAGTGATTCATAGATTCATTTCTGGGGTTATCCAAGGCATCTCAACACTAGAAACTCCATCAGTGACCTGAATAAACACTGGCAGCATTGGAAATAGTGTTTTCCACATAGTATCTCCTGAGAGAACTGCTAGGAAACCGTACGAAATAAATCATGCAAGGATTATGTATCCCTAACACGAAGGTGGCTGCACATTGAATTTCTGCAGCATACACTGCTCAATTGACTCATTCAAGCTAATATCCACCAAGGGTAATACTGCCATGTATCTACATGACTGGCACATTCACTTGTTCCCAAAGTAAAGACGTAACAGAATTATCCATTCCCAGAGGAGGCACTGTCCCATTTCAGAGCATGAATTGCTCTTTGTTCTTGCCAATTTCTAAGTGAACCACTTGCCCTGCTTGATGACTCACGCAAAAGATGCACTGTGTGGGAGGACTTCACTAAGAACTGATCATTGTGACTCATAGCACACTGTAAAAGTAGAGTGCTTTGAGATAAGAATATATTGTGTCTTCACTTTTAATTGAGGAAGAGAACTTCACTTTCCCAATGTTTGGGGAATACTGAGCAAGAGGATATAGGATTTCAGGGTTACTTTAGCATATGCTTTACTTCATGCCCCTTCTTTGCAGAGCTCATGACTAACCATGGGGAATAGGGAATCAGCTGGGTCAGCAACCTCCAAGTTAGCAGATGTAAAATGTTCAGGAAGAAAACTGGAAGTGGAATTCCTCCTCCCCTTCCCCAAAGAACGATCCAAAATCATCTGAAAAGAATTGGGAATACTCAATGTTGCAAGAGGCCATATGGTTTATCTCCAGAACGATCAGTCTTCAACTTGGCCCTTTAGATCTATCAGTGGTATATTTGTTGCTGTTTAATCTAGCCAATGAAAACAAGCTTTTCACAAGAAAATTTAATAGGAGAGACTAAAATTCAGAATTCCTCATGCATTGATGATAAAACTCGGCTCTCCCTAATCTTTCTTGGCAGTATCCTTAATGCATACGGTTGTTTTCTAGGAGGCCAATTTATTAAAATTTTAAAACTCAGATAAAGAACCCCACTTTCCCATGCAATTTGTGAAACAGTTGCTCATTGGAACTCTGTATTTGCAGCAATTAATTTGTCTTCTCTTACAGGAATTCCAGGCAAGTATATGCTTAGGAAACTAGCAGTGACACAAATATTACTTTCTTTGCAGTTTGAAGGGATGGCACAAAGTAGCTATTACTCTAAAGATGCTGAAGCAACTATCTTTCAGATTTCAAGCCAAATGAATGACCCATAGGATCTAATGGTTGGAAGCCGATCAAGGAGAGAAGCAACCTGGAATTAAGGAGAAACTTCCTGACAGTGAGGACAATCAACCAATGGAACAGCTTACCCCCAAAAATCGTGGGCACTCCATCACTGGAAGTTTTTAAAAAGAGACTGGACAATCATCTGACTGAGATGGTATAGGACCTCCTGCTCTAGTCTATTATTCTACTCTGCTCTGCTCTGCTCTGCTCTACTCTACTCTACTCTACTCTACTCTACTCTACTCTACTCTACTCTACTCTACTCTATTCTATTCCTGACTCTCACTAGACAAAGGAAATGGCCTCATTCAGTGACCTTGAGAGTAAATTAGCAATTTGCTTTGCTAGCTGAGTTAGATGGTGTGGAAGTACCATTCATGTGAGCAGATGCTCTTACATGGTTGTAAATCTTTCTCAGCATAATGGCAATCCATTTTGAATTGGAATGACATTACGGGAGTCCATATATCTCGTCAATGGGGATGCACAACTGATGCAAAACTTAGCTGAGATGAAAAAAAATGCAACCTTTCCCATACATAGTACATCGTATATATTCCAAGACAGAGCATGTAAGCGTTCTATTCATCCCTTCCTAGTTGAAGGAAGGAAGGAAGGAGAAAGAAGAAAGAAAGAAATAAAAAGAAAGGAAGGAAGGAAAGAAGGAAGGAAGGAAAGAAGGAAGGAAAAGAAAGTACTAATGCAGTTTAATGGCATTTAAAAAGTCCATTTTTTCTACAGTTTCACTCATACCATTTGTAGTATAAAGCTTCATCAAAGATGATCCAATGTTCTTTAAAAACTGCAAAATGTGTCTATACAGAATACTACACATATAAATTTTGGATAATGCAGCTGCAATGTACCTCACTGATCATCATGAAGCATTTTCTGCCCCTGTTTTCTATCATTACTGGGCCCTGGCTGAAAAGATGCATTAAACAAAGCAAGTACATTATCTGGATGTAATCTTGGAGTTATAGGAGAAGAAAGCATCCCTATGGTCCTGTGTAGCCAGTTCACTTGAGCAGTGACCTAATGAGAACTTCACCATGGACAGAAAGAGGCAGGGAAATCTGTTGACTTTTTATTATATGGAGGTACCCTACTGTAGGCGGGGGCACGGTGGCCTAGCAGTTAAGACACTATGCTTGTCGACCGGAAGGTTGGTAGTTTGAGCCCCAAGTATTGTGTGATGTGATGAGCTCCCATTTTCCCCCAGCTTCTGCTAACCTAGCAGTATGAAAGCATGCAAATGCAGGTAAATAAATAGGTACCACTTCGGAGGGAAGGTAACATGCCTCAGCATGTTGCTACATGACCATGTTGGACAATGTTGGC